AATGGATCATGCCTCCAGGGGGCGGAGTCTAACTGGCCTTTTTCTGTCAATCAGAGGTGTGATTCTACACTTCCAAAATTAGCAATTAATGAAGATATTGTGTCTCTTCAATAATTAACAGCATCTACATACATTAAAGTCAACAGAAGCGATAAATCGAAATGAATGCTAGCATGATCAATACTGATCAAAATATTACAGTAATATTTTGTAGTAGAAATTGATTCCTGAAGTTCCCATGCACTGTTTTTAGCTTGTTACTTCAAAGCTTTTAATAAAATGGCTTTTAATAAAATGGACAAAATGGCAGTGCCTTGTGTGACACATTTTTGAATCTGAGAACCAGGATCATATCCGGGTGGTAATTCCTCAGAGGAATCATTGGTATCAGAGTTAGGACGGCGTAAGAACATCACATGGAACCGAGGAGGTAAAGGGGATTGAAAGCATGACTCGTTTCTGTAAAGCCACATAGCACTGGCCTTTTTATGGAATAAGCACTTGGCTGCCCGTCCCACAATTCCTAGCAGATGGAAGTCCCTAAAGAGCAGGGGCACCGCATGCCTGCTGTACTACATTGCTGAAAGGTGGGGAGAGCCCTTACTCGTGGCGAGTACCCATATCAGATGTATAGTCAATAAGGACGACTTCCTCCGTTACTCATGGTTCGCTCTTAAAAATAAAGATTCTTTATTGCTATTGATGGTTCTATGAAGAACCTTGAACATCCATGGAAACTTTTCATTCCACATAATGTTCTTTATAGTGGAAACAGATTCTTTTAAAATGTTCTTTGCACTAAGAACTGCTCACAGAAAGGATTTTTTAGGAACCCAAAATGGATCTTCAATGACATCACTGTGAAAAAAAAACAAACAACTGGAACCTTTATTTTTACAGGATTTCCATCCAAGCCGAATATACGGCAAATGTAACCTTGGCTTGAGAGAAGTTGTTCCAATCATGTTTTGAATTAATTATTTCAGCTATCAAACACCATGCTTGCAAAATGTCTTGAAGGAGCATCCTAATATGCAAGATAAGTAAAAAACTCGTCACCTAGAAGACATTTTGATATGGCTAAACAGGAGGAAGGTGAGGAAGGCGAACAGATGCCAGGTCATAAGGTCGTAAACCTTTGGCCTACTACAAAGCAACTGGACCCAGATTATGTTTTAACAAATGAAGTCATGCCCCACTCTTAAGAAGAACCTACGTCAAAATCATGATGCTTGTTACAAAGAGAAAGACAGTATAAAACCATCGGATATGACAAAATGTGTTTTGTTTTTCCACTTGTTTAGCGAAAAGTGACCTGCAACAATCTTAAAAATAAAGGTTCAAAAGGGGGGTTCACAATGATGCCATAGAAGAACAATTTTTGGTTCCCTAAAGAACCTCTTAGTTTCTTTTTCAAAACATTTCTTCAAAGAACGATGAAGAACATTTTAAAAACCTAAAGAACTTTTCCTACAATTAAGAACACTTTGGAATGGAAAGGTTCCATGGATGTTAAAGGTTCTTCATGTAACCATAGATGTCAATAATGAACGTGAAATGAAGATTGCCAAGTCTCATGGAAATTTCTTAAAGTTTTATCTGCCCATAATCAGATTGAAAACTCCTTTTCACCAATAAATCAACTAAAGCTTAGAAGCATACGCACTAATTTTAACTGTCATTCAACAATGACACTAAAATCATCTAATTGTTGTCCATTTGAGGCAACTAGCACTTCAGTTCTCTAGCTGTACACACACTAATGCAGCAAGACTGGCATAGATGGCCGCGACTCCTCCTGCTGAGATAATGCATGTCCTTATATGGCCAGTGGCTGGGAATAAATAAATTGTGATTGTGTCAGGGTGACAGCAGCTGCACGCTGGATCCAAAGACAAGCGTGGATGGGAGGGGAGAGAGGAAGAGGACGATGGGGGAATCTATAGTAGACAGTGTCCAGTTACAGGACAACTTCCAATCTTAGACACCTGACGGCAGCCTGGGCCCACGAAGGCCCACGCCGGGCCCGAGAGGAACCCAAGGACGGAACAAGGGTAACGGCGGCTGCCAGAGCCCTTGGAAATCACATCCAAAGCTGGAGTAGCTGGACTTTTATAGCTGACGCTCTTAAAAAGAAAAGTTCCCAGCTTTCGCTGCAATGTCATTTTGGATTCCCCAAAGAACCTTTCAGTGAAAAGAAGTTCTGAAAATAAATTTTTAAAGAAAATTTAAATCATCTGAAGAACATTTTTCTCCTATAAAGAACCTTTTTATGGAATGGAAAGGTTCAATGGGTGTTAAAGGAATCACTGATGCCAATTAAGAACCTTTATTTTCAAGAGCATGGGTTTAAAGTGCAAGACCTTCTTGAATGAAATTGAATGGTTGGATTTAGTTGTCTCACACTGGCAAATCAATAAAACCAAAGTTGTGAATACAAGCACCTCAAACGTCATATAAATACCATGGGACGATTCGGGACTCAAGAAGAGTTGGAAACAGGAGCAGAGCGACTGGTTAACAGTCGTCCCAAGGCTCTAGCTCTTTCCATAAGCTGATGCCATGCCTCACGACAGCTGACACACAATGCATGGGCTGAAACGTCTACCGAACGAAAATAAACCCCCTGTTGTTTGTCCCACTATGACACAATCAGGTACTAAGAGATTCTACAAGTTTAAATTGGAATACATATCGTAAAATTTTAATGATAAAGGATTCGTTTAGCATTCAGACTTTTTGTTAAACTGCACATGCCAAGTCCTAAGATAACTCATCCTTGTCCAGAGTTATTATTGAACACTGCGGGTTTAAATAGCTCAGCAGATGGTGACATGGCCCATCTCCTGATGGTGACCGTCACAGTTTTAAGGCATGCTGCCATGCCTAATTCATTCAAACGTCCTATAGTTTCATATCAAAATGACTAACATATTGCACAAGAAGAACAACCTTAACATGTTTTCAACTTTCAGTTTCAACCACTCTTTGAATCCAAGCGTTTTCCCGCTAAAACTTTTCAAACCACTAGATGGGAAATGGTACTCTTGACGACTTCACAAAGTAAACCTCATCTCAGATCCGTATTACTGAACTGAGCAAACTTTAAAATGCTCTTACCTGCTGTGGCCAGTGCCAGCAGGGGCACAAAAACGCAGAGCAAGACTAAGACCTTCATGCTGCCTGCCAGGAGACTTCTGGTAGCCTCTCTGGCTATATATACTGGGCTGATAAGGTCAGAGGGCGCCAGCAAGAGGATGGTCTTACAGACAGGACTACATGGAGGGGACTGGTGCCGTAGGTGTCAGAAAAGGGCGCACCCGAGCAGCTGACTGTCTTTTAGCAGAGCCATCATGGCAGTGACGTCAAATCAAGGGTGTGCGGCCATCTCCAGCACAAGAGCGCTTTGGTACTTCAGCTGGTGTCGATTTTGGCAACTGAAAAGGAATGTTGTACAAGAGGTATGACAAGACAATGCTATTTGTGACACGGCATTCCACTTTCTTTAAAAAGACACGATGAATTTGATTAAAAAAAATATATATATATATACGATTAATTAAGAATTTACTTGATGGTATGGTTTCAAATAGCTTGTTGGGCATTATAAACTATTGTCCTATTTAAAGAGCTTTAACCCGATCACAGGCTGGAGTCGGTGCTGTTAATCACCAGCAGTCATGCTGGGTAGGATTACAGGAGTTGATAGTCGGGAATAAGGTGTAAAAGTCAGCATCATCATTTCCTCGGAGAGTAGAGATTAACGCCTTATTACACAGCAGATGCCGACTCCAGCACTTCACAGGCAGATGAACTCCCTTCATTAATCTGTGAATACACTATAAAGTGTTCATGGAAAAATTCACTTGTAAAAGACAAACATGAAACAAACAGCAGGAGGTTGTTTCTGTTGTTCTGGGATTTCGAAAAATTATGCAAATCCATTATAAATTAAGCAATTTAATAACAATAATAATCATTTACAACTAATGAACTGCATGACCCCTACATCCTGTGATTCCCCAGACATGCTCATTGTGAGCTTAGGCTAGAAACATAACGCAAGTACACGAAAGCAGTAGTCCAGTGAGTGCTTGGCCAGTGGGTGCTTGCATTTGGTTAGTAGTTTTAGACAATGCAAGATGTATGGAAACCTGTTTCCAACACAGATTTAAAAACAATATAAAGGTAATGAGAGCTTTTTATTCCTTCTAATTATGGGGGAAAAGTCAGAATTACGAAATATGAACTCATAATTTTGAGGAAAAAAGTCAGAAATGTGAATTAAGTCGCAGTTACATTTTTTTTTTAATCCCATGGCGGAAACAAGTTTCTATGTAACTTTGCGTGTTGTATCAAATTTATGGGTAGGTTAGGACTATGTTTGACAAAAATTTAAAAAACTAAATTTCAAGGAACACATGCAAATCTTGGTTACTGGTTAGCCACCTGAACTTACGACTTTTCATGAGCTTCTAATTTGGTGCAAGGTGATGATACACATTCTAATTTTGAATTTACTTAAACATTGTTTGAAAATTCAGGTAAATCTTTTGTAGTCTTAAACCATTGTTTAACCGTTTAACCAGTTTTAACCCATGCCAGTTTGCGCCCCTTGACACTCGCTTTGCTGATTAAAAAAAAAAAAACAGCTTTTTAGCTTACTTATCGCTTAAATGTCAGATTTTCAAGGAAATCGTAAAATGTTCTTTGAGTACTCAGGGATTTACTCACGTACAACACACTCCAATAGTACCCGAAAGAAATCAAAGCTTGTCATCCTATTTATGAGGTACCCAAGTGCAATTCAAATGCCACAGCTGTACGTCATTTATATTTAAAAATATTCCTTTGAATGTTAAAGTTGAACTGATTTGTTATTTGATATGTAACCTAGCAAGCTTTTTATAATGTTAATTGCTAATGTGAGTGTAATGCAGGCAAAGCATACCGTACAATGCATACTGAAGACAGAAATATTTACACGACACACTGAGAAGTTGTAAAAAACAAAGTAAAAACTTTATTATTCTGTTTTTACAAAGGCACAAGCCTCTTTTCCCCAGTTTAAAAAAAAATACAACAGCTTCTCAACCAAATGGACTGACTGTCCCACATAAAGAAAAACAACAAAAATATAAACAAAAAAATATTAAAAGAGATGACAGACAATAAAAGAGGGAGAGGATAAGAGACAGGACAAGTCTGGAGACTGCGGAGACGGCCAGAGGACGTGTGGTGTGCCAGGACAAACGTTGAAGGTTAAACACAGCCGTGTGGTTCAAAAATCACAGCGAGAAGAGCTTCGGTCGAGGACAACATCTCTTTGAAAACAAGAGTCGCTCCTCGTTATACTACAGTAAGTGCTTCAGGTTCATAAAATCGCCCCCGTTCCCCTCGACACACCCAACCTCTGATATGTCCTCAAGATTTCTTACAGTGATTTCTGTGAGTAGAAAATACACAAAAAATAGACACCCTGTGGCTTCGGTAGAGGAAATGTTCAAACGCGGGAGAGGGAAAGAGACTTTTTCGCTAAGACAAAACCGTTATTACAGACTTAAACATGAGAAGACAGCACGAGCAGGACACTAGTCTCTACGACCCATTATCCAAAATAAAAACGCACGAGTACAAAAAAAAAAAAGACCAAAATTAGACCAGCCTGTTCTTCTGGAAGCCCCGATTCCCTGCAGTCTTCGCCGCAATACGAATGACAAGGTTCAGCGTGCTGACAGCACCTGATAAATCCAGAAGGAAAACGCAATCTGTCCAGCAGCAAAAAGATTCCCTGTAATATTCCATAAAGGGAAGGGGGACATGCACACTTTGAATTTTCAGTCAAAAAAACGAGACACCTCTCACCTTAGTCTATGGCCAAATCTTGCCGACTTTAGCGTCGACAACTCAACGCAAAACACAATGGTAGACCGTTCTGGAATGTTTGGAACGTGAACTGTGAGAAGAGATGAACGTGGGACACCGAGTCTTAACGGTGTCCTCCGGCCTTGCTCTCTAGCGCCCCCTTCAGGGCTAGTTTAAGGCAGGCCTCTGTGCCTCATTGTGCACACCGAAGCTGTTTTAAGGCAAGCCACTGGCCATTGTTCGGCACAGGATACGCTCCGTCTCTCAATCCCACCAGGGGTATGAAGAGCTCACAATATCACATGGCTTATCCCAGGAGTGTCCAAGCCTAGTCCCAAAACCAACGTCCTGCAGAGTTTAGCTCCAACGTGTCCCACTCCATACCTGTAGTAATCCTGTATAATTGGAGTTGAAGCCAAACTCTAGTGGACAGTGGCCCTCTGGGAGCTGGATTGGACATCCTTGGCTTATCCGGAGAGCTCACGCAGGAGTAGCACCACCTTGCACATGATTATCTGCGGCATGTACGAACATCCTCGTCGTACGCCGAGAGATACAGGGAAATTTAAACATTCAAGCGAGCAGAGTGAACCAGCGAGTGCATAGAGCTAGAGCGCATGATTACGGGCTAGTCACTCTTCGGTGTCGCCGTAAACATCGTTACAGAGCGTCGGACATGAAAAATGGACAGGACAATACTTCCGGGAGAAGACCAAAGGGGTCACAAAGTTGCTCTCAAAGGGGGACGAGAACCAAAAGAGCTGCATAGGCTGAAATCGGGCCACGACAACCCTGGTAGTGCTATTTTCACACTTTCTCAAAAATACAAGACCTTTACGTTTACATTAGCGAGTGTGCTAAAAGCGACACACAAATTTCCTCGCAGGTACGAGTACCTGGCGGCTAGCTTATTCCATTTGACACACAAACGACAAAAACTCGTCCAGAATTTCAAAATCAGATCTGTGAGGACAGGACCGGGGGGCATTTGACGCGACGGTGGGAGTGCTTCACCCTACACCAACAAGCATACTGGGAACCCAGCCCAGTAAAGGTGAGCGACATTAAGTGCACAAAGTCCCCCCTCTTTGTGTAATAACTTTGCGTTATTTACAAAGTGCTCGAAGCCCCTCTAAGCAGTGGCGGTCTTTGTCCCTCCATTGACAACATGTTAATCAAAGGTGCCCACCAGCAAATGGAAATCTAGGAGCGTGTCTGCGCCAAAAAAAAGAAAACAAAACAAAAAAAGGTAACATTTCCTCTAAAGTTTCAGAAGCCATGGTGAGGAACAGGTTTCTGAAGTCTCATTGGCTCACAGCGATGCTTCAAGCCTCCCCAGAATGGAAAGAGTAATATGACGCAACCAGAGGGTGGCGGGGCAAAGGGTTCATTTTGAGAGATGAGACGCGGTAGTGGGTTTCTTCCAATCAGAACACTCTACTGCCCTCTTATGGGCAGGATGTAGAACAGGAAGTGACGAAGCAGAGGCCTAGAAGACCTGTGGCAGATTCCGATGGAGATTTTGTGATTCTCTCACAAAATCGCTTACCTGGGAGCGTGCGTTGTGGAAACAGAAGACAATTCGACGGAGTATGAGTAAGAGCTGTATAATATGAATGTATCAACAAGTTACCAGAGTGCTATGGGGTTATAGTATATGAGTATGTGCGAGTATACATAAGCGTGCTCGTTCTGTTTGCGGCACATTTCCTGTAACATTTCCTTTTTTTCTTGTTTTTGTTTTGTCCCCCCCCCAAAAAAAACCTTCAAGTCATTGAGTCTGTGTGAGTGTGAAGAAGACAGCGACAGGAAGAGAGGAGAGAGAAAGAAAGAGTATTTCTGCGGGAGGCCCTTTGCCACAGACCCCCTCACCCCCTTTCCGCGCCCCCCGTTACATGTGGTGGGGCGATTTGGGAGTGGGGGTGACCGTGGCAGTTAACAGTCCTCAGATCCTTCGTTGTCAGAGGCGGTGTCGGAGTCGCCGGTGTCTGTGAGGACACGGCCCGGGGTGACGATGACTGCCCGGCGCTTTTCCTCCTCGGGCAAGACCATCCTGTCCTGCGTGCCTTCGATGTGCTGGATGGCCTGCGGGAAAACAGGAAGAAACTGTCAGTTGACTTGCTAAACATCCAAATTATTCACTTTATAATCCAAAATAACTAGCTTTACATTTGGTACAGTCGCTACAATAGATCTAGTCCAACAACAGACAAGTTGAGGCGTGGAGCTACATAGGGTGTAACAGAGTTCTGCAGGGATAACATTTTTGTGGGCCAAAACCTAGAAATGGGCATTTTAGCAGTTCTAGTTCCATCATTCTGATGTCAATGGGTTATTATGAATGGATTTTTGGTTAAATGCCTTAAATAAGGTCTGTGGTTAACATAAGCTCAAGATATTTTCAAGTTTTAATCTATGACTTCAGGTGCAGTTCCCTAGTGTCCACACGAAAACTTCAAGTGTGAAGATGCACTTTAGGCATGGGACGATAACCGGTTTCAAGGTATACCGCGGTTTGGAAAATTCACGGTTTCAAAACCACTAAAATTTTCCGTTATACCGTTCCTGCGGTATGCAGAGTTTTTTTTACGTGTCATCAAAGACAGAAAGTGCAGGACTCCCTCAGTTGTGTGCAGCGAAGAGCGTAACGAGTCACACGACCCCTCCCCCCTCCGGTTGGTGCAAGGCTGCGAGCAGTCAGTCAGTCAGCTGTGTGTGGGATGGCCGAAGGAGGTGAATACCTGGAACTTTTTCCCCCGGCGAAAAAGATTAAGTCTGCCGTATGGGAATTTTTCGGGTAACGTAGACTCTCTTGTGAACGCTCGTACAACAGTTAGCGGAAGCTAGAGATTACGGTTTATAAAGTTTTAAATATGGTGTTTTTGTAAGAAAAATATCATCGATTAACTTCAGGAGGCCTTTATTAACCCTCCGGAGCCATGTGGAGTACTTTTTATGATGGATGGATGCACTTTATTGGACTTCTATTGGACTATTGACTATAAACAGCCATTCACTGCCATTATAAAGCTTGGAAGAGCTAGGACATTTTTTCTTACAATTCTGTATTCGTCTAAAAAAAAAAAATCATATACACCTAGGATGGCTTGAGGGTGAGTAAATCATGGGGTAATTTTTTTTTTGGGTGAACTACCCCTTTAACACATATATATGGCCACTAAGCCACAACATTTCTACAGTGGGAATCTGGTAGTTAAATCTCATTCCATCAGGACTTTCTCTCTTTCAAGACTTTCTCCTTGAGCTGTGCAGGAATGTGTTTTACCTGCACAATGGTGTCCAAGTTCTGTCGTGATGTGGATGCTGTGTTGATCACAGAGGTGGGGCCCATGGTTACCACAGTGACATGATGGGAAGGGGGCGGCGGCGCAGGGGCGGGAACAATTACTGTGGCGTGATGAGTGGGCGCAGGCGGCGTGGCAGGAGAAAACACCTGAGGAACACAGCAGGACGGAGGGTTACGATAAATTACAGAGACCTTTTCTATGAACAAAGTGAACAAGAAATCAGAACCGACACTTTATTTATGTATATATTTACTTAATGTATATGGTCGTATTGTATATGTTTCATAAGTACACATTGTTCAAAAGAGAAAAAAAAAATCACTACTGGTCAAAAGTTTGGGGTCGGTAAGATTTTTATGTTTTTGAAAGAAGTCTCTTATGCTCACCAATGCTGCATTTAATTAACTTAAAAATACAATAAAGTTATTTTATGAAATATTACTGCAATTTAAAAGAACTATCTGAACTATCTATTTTCTAAAAGAATATATTTTAAAATGAAATTTATTTCTGTGATGTAAAGCTGAATTTCCAGCATCATTACTCCAGTCTTTAGTGTCACATTAGTCTTCCGAAATCATTCTAATATGCTGATTGCTGCTCACAAAACCTTTAATAATTATCATAAATGTTAAAAACAGTTTTGCTGCTTCATATTTTTGAGGAAACCGCTTTTTTTTCCCCCAGGATTCTTCGATGAATAGAAAGTTCAAAAGAACAGCTTTTATTTGAAATTGAAATCTTTTGCAACATTATAAATGTTTTTACTGTCACTTTTGACCAATTTAATGTGCCCTTGCTGAAAAAAAATATATATATTTTTTTTTAAATCACACTGACCCCAAATGTTTATAATAGCATAATAGTAGTAATAGTTGTTTGTAATCCTTTATCAAAATGTAATAATTGAATAATGTTCTCTGCTTCTAAACCAGCTTCTCTTCACATAAAAACAATACAAAAATATATTACACAGTCAAATATTCATAGGTTAAATGAAGTCCCACCCTACACTATTATGTGAAAAATTACATCACTCAGAAATCTGTCACATTAAATGCAATTTGATGTCTTAACTCTTCTAATGCCCTCTAGTGGATCAAAACATCAGATGAACACTTACAAACTGCACTGCAAAACCTCCCTTTTATGATCGAGTATTTCAATCACGAATAGTATATCAATAAAAACAATAGAGTCTGTCTGACCAGCGGGCTGCGAGCAGGTGTGGTGGTCTCTTTTCCCAGCTGTTCTTGTTGCTGCTGTTGAAGACGAAGCAGCGATTGCGTCTGCACGTGCTGCTCCTGGACCTGCTGAGCGATCACCTTTAGCTGCTCTGGGTACAAGTGGGCATCCAACGAGCGGATCTAACAGAAACACACAAAGAAACAGAGGTCAACACACATCCAGAAGACACCGGAGAAAGTGTTTCCTCTTAATACTTTTTTTTTTCTTTGCCTGAGGAAGTTTCTCTAGCGCATTTCATGGATAGCAGCAGAGATTGGGGTGTAATTTGCACTTCAAGTGTGATGTTCAGAAACGATTCAAGCTCTCAGGGGAGCTGTGCACCTTCTGTGATAACTCATTAAATATGCAAAGACTAAAGCGAGCTAATTTTAGCAAGCAAACGGATGCAGCAAAAGAAAAGTTTGATAACGGATTTCACAGATGACAACTCCTCAGCACTAGGCCATGATGATGAATACAGATATGCGAGATTTAGTCAAGTAAAACTGCGAGCGACAGATCAAACAGCTCCCGATGAGCTCTACTGAAGATTTGCAAAATTTGTCAAATAACGACAAAAAAAAAATAATAATAATAATTATGACTGAGAACTCTCTCTGTAATGAGGTACAAATTAAGCTAAAAAGGAGTTTACAATCAATTAATTTAGGACTTAAGAAATCCCAACAATTTTCTTGAGCATATCCTCTACAAATACACTAATATTGAAATTTTAGCCTGTAAGATTGCATCTTATTTTATATATTTAAATATATTTTTAAAAAAGTATTATATATATTATCATTTATCTGCAATTGACCTATAATGTTATTTTAAACATAATTCTCTCTCTATATACATATATATCAGTTTATACATCTCTTAAAAAATGTGACCATGGACCACAAAACCAGTCATAAGGGTCCATTTTTTGAAACTGAGATTGATACATCATCTGGAAGATGAATAAATAAGCTTTCCATGGATGTATGGTTTGTTAGGATAGGACAATATTTGGTCGAGATACAACTATTTGAAAATCTGGAATCTGAGGGTGCAAAAAAAAAATCTAAATACTGAGAAAATCGCTTTTAAATTTGTCCAAATTAAGTTCTTAGAAATGCATATTACTAATCAAAAATAAAGTTTTGATATATTTACAGTAGGAAATTTACAAAATATCTTCATTGTTTTTTTTGGCTATTGCTAAAAATATACCCCAGTGACTTAAGACTGGTTTTGTGCTCCAGGGTCACAAATATTTAAATATCAATAATTATCAACAATCACATAGGCCAATTGTTTGTATATATATTTAAGAACTAAAATGATATCAGTCGATAAAATATTGAGTTTAGCGGACACTAATATACCTGTTCTTCCAGCATCATGCGAACGGAGCGCTCTTTATCCAGCTGTTGTCGGAGTTCGATCATCTCTCGCCGAAGATCCTCCACCTTCTCCTCCTCCAGAATGTCTGGAGATCCAATGCCTTCATCCTTCTCCTCGGCGCGCCTCCTCTTTGGGGATGAGCCGCTGAACTCCTTCTGATGGGAGGAAGAGGAGAACATGAGACGACAGGAATGTCCTCATAACAGTCATGTTTCATCTGTTATATTGATAAGATTTTATATTTATTATGAAGAGCTTCACCTGTATGTAGCGTTTGAGTTGGGTGTTTTGTTGCAGCAGCCTCGTCTTTTCCTGCTCCAGAGAAAAGATGTATTCGGCCGTCTGCTGTAAGATGGCAGCCTGAGAGAGAAAGAGATCGTATTACATCCATCTGAATGTACTGGCATGATGGACCACAGTTTCAGTCAAAGTGATGCCAAACATCTTAAGTGATGGATGCTGCAAGTACACGACCATTCATAAGTTTGAGATCAGTAAGATGTTTTTTTAAATAGAAATTAATAGTTTTATTCAGCAAGGATGGATTAAATCGATCAAACTTGACAGTAAAGACATTTAAGTTTACAGAAGATTCCTGTTTCTGAAGAGTTTCTATTGTTCTTTTGAACTTTGTTCATAGAAACCTGAGAAACTAGTGACCACAACAATACTCAGCAGCACAACTGTTTTTAGTTTATAATAATAAGAAATGCTTCTTCTAGCGCATCAAATCAGCATATTAGAATGCTTTCTGAAGGATCGTGTAACACTGAAGACTGGAGTAATGATTAGCGGTGTGAATCGGCACTGGTTTCAATTCGATTACGATTATCGTGTCAACGATTCGATTCAATTCGATTACGATTATCATGTCAGCGATTCGATTCAATTCGATTGCGATTATCGTGTCAACGGTTCGATTCAATTCGATTACGATTATCGTGTCAATGATTCAATTCGATTGCGATTATCGTGTCGACGATTCGATTCAATTCGATTACGATTATCGTGTCAACGATTCGATTCAATTCGATTGCTATTATCGTGTCGGCGATTCGATTCAATTCGATTGCGATTATCGTGTCAACGGTTCGATTCAATTCAATTACGATTATCGTGTCAATGATTCAATTCGATTGCGATTATCGTGTCGACGATTCGATTCAATTCGATTACGATTATCGTGTCAACGATTCGATTCAATTCGATTGCTATTATCGTGTCGGCGATTCGATTCAATTCGATTGCGATTATCGTGTCAACGGTTCGATTCAATTCAATTACGATTATCGTGTCAATGATTCAATTCGATTGCGATTATCGTGTCGACGATTCGATTCAATTCGATTACAATTATCGTGTCAACGATTCGATTAAATTCGATTCGATATCACGATGCATCACGATTATATCAACTTTATTTTGTGCATTTTTATTAAATTATATAAGCAGGCTACTTTTTAAAATAATTTACGTTGATTAATTCATATATAATTAATTAATTATTGTTAAGAAATAAAGTAAATATAGCTTCAAAACATACAAGCAAATATAAAGTAATAAAGGGGGAAATAGACAATTACAAGTATACCTGATATATGGCATGTAGTAACATTGGTGAGATAAAAAAAGACTTCATTTAAACTTAAAGAAAATCATAATTAACATTTTAATTTTGTGGGAGCATTTACACTTACATAAAATCTAGATTAAAGGAATTATTCACCCTAAAAATGAACACTGTCGTTACTTGCACACCCCCACAAATCTGTTTAGATCATTCCACTGCAACAAAACAGACGGTAAGTTTATCAATGAATAACGATTTATATTTCAGTCTGTTTCTCACAAAAAGCTATCATATAGTGACCAAAGACTGTAATATGGACCATATACATTACTGAAATTTTGACATCCGCACCAGTGATACTAACATGTCAAGATTTTCAACCACTTTTAATCAGTTCCATGAATCAGCTGATCTGGTTCTCAAAGCTTTTCTGAATGATTCATTCACACATCGGACTGATCAGATTCAACTCAGTGAGTAAAGGATTCAATCCCATTCACTGGAGGAGTAGATTATGAGAGAATAACCAAGAGAATTTCACACACATGACAGTATTACTGGAGAAGATTTGCACTATAGCATTATAAGTTACGTGGACTACTTCTGTTGTACTTCTAAGACGCTTCTCCATCGTTGTTTAGAGCTTAAAACAAATATGGGTTTGGAACAACCTGAGGGTGCGTAGGTATTTTCATTTTTAAGTGAACTATTCATTCAAATCAACTACTTGATTTTCACTCTTCCCAGTTTGTTTACAAGAGCTCTCTGACTCACCTTGCTTAGCTTTTCCCCGTCACTATGCGGGATGAGTGTTTTCAGAGACTGGAAGCCAGAGTTGATGCTCTGCATGCGCCGGCGCTCATTACTGTTGGCGATTTCCCGCCGAATACGCCGCTCCTGATCCCGCGCCGTCTCTGGCGTGAGGGGAATGTTTGCTAAGCTGTGAAGAGACATTACAGCACTTTAGTCTACCTTAAAAATATCATTATTACATTTAACCTCATAGGTCATAACGGAGCATGTATTACAATCATGTATTTAAAGAAATTGCAAAAAAATCCATATCATGGCACTGTTTGATTACTATATTGAAACCCCATATTATTTAAATGATACTGTAATGTACTTCGAAGAATCCCATGGTACTACCATACCATGATAATTTTCCCCATTTTAAGGTACTTTTTATCAAGGAAACTTGGCAAGATGTTTTGTTTTGGACAATGTGTCTGAAATGTAAACAGAGATTTAAAGAAAGTAGAAGAGTGTTAAATGAATTCTTTTTGTAAGTTATACTGTTTATATAATAACTAAAAGTGCTCTTTTTTTCCTTTTGCTTGCATCTCTAAAACAGGATGCAACCTTGAGAGAGAGAAACACCAGAGTGCGAAGTAGAAAACATTTGACTTTCCTGAATGCTCATCGAAGCCCATTGTCTCTAAATTCGAGCCCCTGGAAATCTCTGCCTCGCATGATCACACGCGTGCTTTGGCCAAGGAAATCAAACCGTAATTGAACTTCCTCCCTGTCTGGGCATCTCATGGGGTATCTCTGGAAAGCCTCTCTTATCAGCAGCGCCTCAGCTGCATGAGGACAAACACTGGGAACAATTGTGAGGGGAGAGAGAGAGAGGTTTCCCTGCTCGCTTCCTTACGTCCAAGCAGCTCAAAACCCAGCAAACAGATCCAATGCCAAAATCACAACTAGAGCCAACTGTGGAACGAGAGATACGTTCAGATCAGCCGTTTCCAGCCATATGCATTGAATATGACCCAACTTCTTTTATGCATGAAAATAAAATGGTCAAAAGGGAGTTTAAATCTCAGTTTGGGTGAGAGACTTTGCATTTGTGTAATTAAAGCTGCCATAAAAAATAAAAATATAACATTTACAATAGCAAATAGTAATACATACAAGTTTTATATTAAATAGAAATCAAACTATAATAACAATTTAAATTAATAATTTTTTGAAATATTTTAATTATACAAATAATAGTAATGTCTTAATACTTAAACAATAACAATAGTAATTAATAATAATTTACAACTGTTTTAATAATACTTTAAAATAATGTTTTAATTATAATAATAATAATTTTAACAAATTTGATTAAAGTTGACAAAAGGCCAGGGTACATACAAGCTTGTAATGATTTATGACAAGATTGATAAAATATTACTGAACCCTGCTCATATGTCTGGGTGTTTTTACTCATAACACGTTATGAAATAAATTAACTGCTATTAAAAAAAATAATAAAAACATGCATCCCTCAGTTTAAACTGGACTGTTTAAAAACCATGTTAAAACTATTAGAGGAGGAACAACTGCCTTTGCTCTCTACATTTTCAAAACAAAGACAACTTAAACATGGTTTTAACCAAAAAGGACAAATAAAAATGCCAGATTGCTAGTAATATGTATACTTTATAAGTATAGCAACATTTAACCAACAGCAAAAGTACCACGTACTACCTTGGTGTTTTATACAATTGCAAAACCATGCTATTCTATGTACTTTGGATCACTTCAACCGATATATACTGATAACCCATGTAAATCTGCAAAGTGTCCAGTGAATAACAGCAGCCCAAACATACCCAAGACCATACGCATCATTTGTATGCGATTTTCTTTGGGAAAAAACTACAATTCCCAGAACGCCCTGCGCTAATCGGCTCACTGGCCCCGCCCCCTTCAGAGAATGGATCGCAGACGCATTGACGGGGCCTTCCTTCAATAGCATACACACCCCCTTATTAAAATAACACCAGTTATTAATTTACTAACCTCTAAATACCCCATATTCCACTCACAATGGGCCGAAACTGTAACATCGAGCGAGATAATCAACATACTCGCTGGCCTAAATAAAAAACATCGTGTTCGCGGATGATACGGTCCGCCATTACAACAATGCGCTTCCTCCGTCCATGCGGCAGCAGCGACGCAGTCCAAATATCATCTGATTTCTCTCCCGCCGCACGCACGGCGAGATTTCTCGCGCTCAACGCCCATTTCAGCCTCGTATGTGGGGGATACTCGTGTGCAATGGCAGTCTGGAGACTTTTAATATTTGATAGCAATGAGAAACAGACGACGCCAAATACACGAGCCACAAGCATGGCCGCACTGCCCACAATAACTTCAGCCCCAAAAACACGCGAACTCGCGCCCAGACGCACTTTTAATCCACAAACCCCTCTATAAGAGGCCAAATTCACTGGTGGGACGAAATAAGCGCGGTTTGTGATATTAAATACACGCGCGTGACCAACAACGTGGTGTGCGTGCATGCAACCACGTGGTTTGTGTTTGTTAGACACAAAATGCATCGATTTCGCCAAGATATTTCATAGGTAACACTGACCTGACAAGCCAAGGGGCTTCCATAGACCCCCGCGAGATGTTTTAAACGTAGAAACCCGAGTCTCGCATGGGTTCCGTCCCGTCTTAAGCCACTAGATAGGCGCATGTACACAATAACACAGAAATCATGCATGCATGTTACTCTCGTAGTAGCGCAGCTGCTGTTGGCGCGCGATTAAAGAAACGCGCACATATATGTGCGCATTTATTAAAAGAGGCTCTCACGTACCTACACAAGCCCCCTATGACTTCTTTCTCGGTTTTCCTGAAATGTTGCAAGGAGGGCACCTTCTGAGCTGGTACCATGAAATACTCCATGCTTCTCTCCAGCTCTGGCTCCTCGGTCCTTCTTGTACTTTATCGGTTTAATAACAAAACAGCTTCTTCGTGTCTCTTTCTCATTTAAGAAGCAGAGCTGTGCGTGTCCTGCTGATTTGGGGCATGAGCGCGTAAGATGAGTGTTGAGTTGTAAGGTTACTCTACTCTTCCAGCTGATGGGGTTCCCTCGTAGTGTGTGTGTGTGTGTGTGTGTGTGGCGCTCGCTCTCCATGAAATACTCCATGCTTCTCTCCAGCTCTGGCTCCTCGGTCCTTCTTGTACTTTATCGGTTTAATAACAAAACAGCTTCTTCGTGTCTCTTTCTCATTTAAGAAGCAGTCCTGTGCGTGTCCTGCTGATTTCGGGCATGAGCGTTGAGTTGTAAGGTTCCTCTACTCTTCCAGCTGATGGGGTTCCCTCGTAGTGTGTGGCGCTCGCTCGCTCTCGTTCCCGCCCTCCTTCTGCATGTGTGTGTTTGCAGCTGATCGGATGTCTTTCAAGGCGGGAAACAGCTGGTAGGAATCACACACAGCACTGCACTACCAAAAAGCCTCCTTCCGCCGAACAGGAGGACTTGCATATAAACAAAGGAGTATTGCAACAGCGACCATGTTCTCCTGAAATCAGTTTCATGCTGATTGCATGCCAGAAAGGGTCTTGTAATGGATGCATTTAAATGCCTTTAAATATCCGCCTCGTGTGCAAGAACATTCTGTGCATAAATGCATTGTATGCGTTATAGTGTTTCTATATATTGCACGTATATATATTGTTGGTTCATGAACCTAAATATTAATTAAAACCTTGTGCATGTCTTAAAATAGTGATCTAGAGCTTTTTTTTAATTATTCTTTTTTTTTACATTAAATAAGTTTTAAAGCATGAACCTAAATAGAAATCAAAGCACGCATATTAAAATATGAATCTATGTGTTGCATATTAATATCAAAATATTGATCAACATCTGTTAAAACGATCAGTGCATGTAAACAACTAATATTTTTCGTAAGCTATAGCTTTTATTTATTCCTTTTTTTACATAATTACTGATCTGTTAAAATAATGCAGGTTATATTTGTTTATAAGCTAGCTTTTAATGATTGATTTAAAAAAAAAAAAAAGCAATAATCATGTAAAATATCGGCGCACAGAGCAATGCATAATGCATATCTGAAAATCTTCTGTCTGGATCTGTTTAAATAGATTATTTAATTAGTACGGGCGCGTTTCATTTTAAAGCGAATGTAAATGCAAACTCGTTAAAAATCAATGCGCGATGCAACTCATAATGAATGATAATATCGCTCTAGGTCTGTTATGTCGCTTGGTGAATGTAAATAGGTTCGTTTTCTTTAACTGGAGGGTGAAACATGAGGGATCAGCTGATCATGCTGGCAGGGGTTTACAACACAACACCACCAACCAGCGGAGAAGACAAGACAAGAGAGAGGGCTGACATTCACACACCATTTTGGGTGCATGAAAGTTGTAGTTGTAGGAGGAGGAACAGGAGTTACCTAATCGCATGCTCGAAGCACAAATCACACACACAGACAAAATGGGAGCGGTCATGAAGAACCCGGAAATGTGTTTTACTGGGACTCAACACAAGCTGAGGGCGAGATCATGAACGAGCATGCAGGCTGTGATATATGAACACAAACTTATGGAGGAAACGACACTGTTTCCATATTTCATCTGTTACAAGTTCTGCATGTTTCTGTGAAGCTGCTTTGAAACATGCATTGTTAAAGGCGCTATACAAATACATTTGAACTTAAAGGAATTCATATGTCCACTTTTAATGTGTTTTATATATACAAAATGATACAGTATTTTATACATAATATAGTGAAATAATATTTGGTATCATAATACAATGATACAAATTATATTTTTATATCATTTTCTAATAAAATATTATTAGACTCTATAACCCACTCTTTAATGAAACAAGATTATTTTATATATATTTAAGGTTGGGATTGTATAATTCTGCATAAATCTGCACGGAAACCCGCTGAACCCCCTAGCAGTTGGTAATAAATGAATAGGCTATAAAGGAGAAAGGCATACGTCTTACGATATAAATAAGGTCAAATTTAAATAATAATAAATATATTCCATAGAATAAATCATATTAAATGATAGCCTAGAAATTGGTTAAGCTTTATCTTAATAAAAAAATGCAATAAATTATAATTTAATACATTAAAACGGCCGCTAATGCAGAGGTTAATAGTCATACTTAAAATAATGATTATAGTCACTGCAAAATTAGATCTTTTATTGCAGGTTTTTATTAGCCTTCCTCATATTCTCAACTATAATAGAAATTTGTTCATATGTGACCCTGGAGCACAAAAGCAGTCTTACGTCGCTGGGGTATATTTGTAGCAATAGCCAACAATACACTGTATGGGAAAAAAAAAAAAAGCAATAATCATGTAAAATATCGGCGCACAGAGCAATGCATAATGCATATCTGAAAATCTTCTGTCTGGATCTGTTTAAATAGATTATTTAATTAGTACGGGCGCGTTTCATTTTAAAGCGAATGTAAATGCAAACTCGTTAAAAATCAATGCGCGATGCAACTCATAATGAATGATAATATCGCTCTAGGTCTGTTATGTCGCTTGGTGAATGTAAATAGGTTCGTTTTCTTTAACTGGAGGGTGAAACATGAGGGATCAGCTGATCATGCTGGCAGGGGTTTACAACACAACACCACCAACCAGCGGAGAAGACAAGACAAGAGAGAGGGCTGACATTCACACACCATTTTGGGTGCATGAAAGTTGTAGTTGTAGGAGGAGGAACAGGAGTTACCTAATCGCATGCTCGAAGCACAAATCACACACACAGACAAAATGGGAGCGGTCATGAAGAACCCGGAAATGTGTTTTACTGGGACTCAACACAAGCTGAGGGCGAGATCATGAACGAGCATGCAGGCTGTGATATATGAACACAAACTTATGGAGGAAACGACACTGTTTCCATATTTCATCTGTTACAAGTTCTGCATGTTTCTGTGAAGCTGCTTTGAAACATGCATTGTTAAAGGCGCTATACAAATACATTTGAACTTAAAGGAATTCATATGTCCACTTTTAATGTGTTTTATATATACAAAATGATACAGTATTTTATACATAATATAGTGAAATAATATTTGGTATCATAATACAATGATACAAATTATATTTTTATATCATTTTCTAATAAAATATTATTAGACTCTATAACCCACTCTTTAATGAAACAAGATTATTTTATATATATTTAAGGTTGGGATTGTATAATTCTGCATAAATCTGCACGGAAACCCGCTGAACCCCCTAGCAGTTGGTAATAAATGAATAGGCTATAAAGGAGAAAGGCATACGTCTTACGATATAAATAAGGTCAAATTTAAATAATAATAAATATATTCCATAGAATAAATCATATTAAATGATAGCCTAGAAATTGGTTAAGCTTTATCTTAATAAAAAAATGCAATAAATTATAATTTAATACATTAAAACGGCCGCTAATGCAGAGGTTAATAGTCATACTTAAAATAATGATTATAGTCACTGCAAAATTAGATCTTTTATTGCAGGTTTTTATTAGCCTTCCTCATATTCTCAACTATAATAGAAATTTGTTCATATGTGACCCTGGAGCACAAAAGCAGTCTTACGTCGCTGGGGTATATTTGTAGCAATAGCCAACAATACACTGTATGGGTCAAAATTATTGATTTTTCTTTTATGCCAAAAATCATTAGGATATTAAGTAAAGATCATGTTCCATGAAGATATTTTGTAAATTTCTGTCAAAACTTAATTGTTGATTAGTAATATTCATTGCTAAGAACTTCATTTGGACAACTTTAAAGGCGATTTTCTCTTTTTTTTTTTTTTTCACCCTCAGATTCCAGATTTTCAAATAGTTGTATCTCGGCCAAATATTGTCCGATCATAACAAACCATACATCCATGGAAAGCCTATTTATTCAGCTTTCAGATGATGTAGCCTAATCTCAATTTCGAAAAATGGACCCTTATGACTGATTTTGTGGTCTGATTTGTTTTGCTTTCAGTCTATTTCTCCGTCTGTCTGATTCCACAGAAACAGTATCTTCTATTTGTCACCAATATAAACTTAAAATGAACAACTCGCATATGTACAGAGATGCATACTCTTATTTTATTGCATTTTTCTTTTTGTCCTCATGCTGAGTAGCTGTGCTGCTTTGGGCAGCTGCCATCTAGTGGTAACCCAGTTCAGCTCTACTATCTGCCTCTGAGATTTTGCTGATTAGAGGAGATATATTACAAAATGAAATGTAAAATATTTAAAAATAACTAGGGTCAAATAAAGTAAACCATTAGGGTGTGAGAGAATATGATGTTATGTTATTCTGTGAAGGCCTATTAAGACTATTAGTAAAATCAAACTTTAATGAGCCTGGAAACTGAAGATCATAATACAGATCAGCTCAACAAAATGTATACAAATACGGCAAATTAAATCCTTGTTATGATATAGTGCTCACCTCATGGCTTAATTACTTAAATAAAGGTCCGTTCACCAGCCACCACAAAAACTTTCAGCTGAAATCAAGCAAAAACTCATATTTACCTGCAAGATGAAACCTCAGCAAGTGTTTCCTGAGTGTAAAATTGTTTTTTTATATTATTTTATTTATTTTATTTTACTATTGACTACTATTGTATTCAGATTGATTAAATCAAATTTCTTCACTTCAATAAAACCAGTTAATTTAGATATTACAATGAAGCACTTTTTAGATAGCTGACAAAATGAGAAAACATTTTTTCAATGTACTTTGTTTGTACTTTGGTTTGGTTCGCGTTTGAAGATGTTTGGGAGAGTTTTACCCATGAATCAGTGCAACGCCAGCACCATGATCAAACACTGGGTCTATAAAACTCCAAAAAAGCTCCATAAAATTTGTGCACTATATGCAAAATCTTCTCAAGAAAATCTTCGGTCATTATTTACTCATTCTCAAGTTGTTCCAAAACGCTTTTTCTTTCCACTGTGGAACACAAAAGAAGATATTTCAAAAAAGTTTGAGCCTTTTTTTGGTTCACACTCTTAAAAATAAAAATTATTTATTGGCATATGGTTCCAAAAAGAACCCTTAACATCCGTGGAACCTATGTTTTGGCATTTTGAATTTTTATTTTCATATACATTTTCAAT